AGCCTTTATGGCACTATCTAATTGTATGATGGCTATATCTTTAAACCCCAGTGGCATGTTCTTGTACCCAAATTAACTCTTGGATCAAATCAAGATATGTTCATAAACAATGGTTGATCTTTGTTCTCTTCCAGAACATCCTATTCTGCTAAATTGTGAATGATGTAAGAGACTGAGATTGTTGCTAAATGTTTACATTCCTTAAGGTCACTGATGAGCAATTTATTATCTAACCTTTACAGTGCATAAAGGCTGTTCTTCATTAATTGTTGAGGAAGAAAACAGTAATGTTTTGATTTAAAAATTGAATTCATGGAAACTTAAATGTGCTTATATAAACAAAAACTTAAATGTGCTTATATAAACTGGACAAGAATTTTTATTCTTTCTTTTATCCAGTCCATACCTAGTACACTATGATCAACTCAAAATTATATATCTGCACATTGTAAATCATAATGAAATCTAGGGCAGTGTTTCTCAACCTTAACAATTTTAAGGCATGTGGACTTCAACTCCCAGAATTCCACAGCCAGCATTGCTGGCTGTGGAATTCTGGGAGTTGAAGTCCACATGCCTTAAAATTGGCAAGGTTGAGAAACACTGATCTAGGGGTTTATTTGACTCAAAATTCATGGAACTTTTTTAGAGAGTAACGCTGGAACACTGATGGCAGAGAACTATACCAGAGAGGGAGAAAAAAAATTCAAAGATAATTTTTGACTATTTAGAAATCTTACAATGATAGGCATTATTCAGAATACACAACTGTTTAGAAGTGTTACCAAATTGCCTAGCAACTGTACTAAGCTAAGGAAGCTTGCTCAGGGTTTCTTTTGTGTATTAAGGGTTTCTTTTGTGTATTAAGAGAAGGCCTCACCTGTTCTGTACTAGGACATAGAGTGCTATGTTAAGGAAGTGTTATTGAGTGGGGCAACAATTGGTTCCTTAGCAAATGAGGGGTGGGGTTAGCTGAAAAGCAGGAAGCAGGGCTGTTGGGACCAAGGCAGCTTGAAGTGGCTTCCTGCTGTGTGTGGAACCACTCTTCTCCCTCCTTCATTGTGTGTGCTTAGACTTTGTGGTACTGGCTGACATGACAGCTTCCCTCAGAGGGATTCTACCATTTCTCTTTTCTAAGCATATTGCCCACCCCACTCAAAGCTAAATAGACAGATTCCCCATCTGAAACAAAACAAAAAACAAAAAAGGAACAATTTAAGCCCTTTCTTCATTGCATTTATTGTCTTACTTTCCTTCGGTTTTCTTTATTGAATATGCCCAATATAGTTTGTTTGCATTTTCAAAATGATTTTTAGATTCTTAAAATGTAAAAAGCTGTGTTAAGTCTTCTTATCTGAACAGTTAATAGTTCTATTATTAGTGCATCTTCATTTCCATCCAGCCTACAGTCTAAATCCTAAAATCCTGTTTCAAGTTCTGCTTTAGATACTCTACTTGAGAGAAAGCCTTCTTAATAGGATTACCTAACTGTGGGCCACACTTCCCCAACAATATTTACAATTATTTGGGCTATCAATGAGGATCTTTAATTATCTGGAGATTGTTAAAACTCAGTTTAAAACTTCAGGTATAATTCAGGCAGTCACATCATTATTCAGCTCATAATCTTTAGCTGTGTTTTGTTGTGGTTTGCTGTTTATTTTAATTTTTGTCCTTGCTTTTTAAATTGCACACAAAACAACACTATTGAGTAGTCTACATCAGAGGTCACCAACCTTTCTCAGTTGGCGGACCAGAGGGAAAGGGAGGGGGAAGCATTTTACATGTGCGCATGTACACGCACATGCATGGGGCCGCAAGCATGTGTGTCGCAAACGGGACAGGACTAGCACCCGCATGATACTCGCTAGCCCTGCCCTGTTGCATGGCGCAGCGTCCCATTTTCACATCCTGCAGCTACAGTGCTACTGCAAGTTGGGGAGTGAATGCACACCAGCCTGTCCCGCCTGTCCCACTACCGGGCCGCGGCCCACAGGTTGGAGACCCCTGGTCTAAATAAATGCCATCAATATATTTTTAGTTAGAACAGTTAAACTTTTTTGCAAAATAGATACTGTGCTTGTTGAAAAGAACATTTAATATGTTCTTGCCTCTAAGAAGAGTAGATTGTCAAAAACAATACAAAACGCAACAAATAGTCCTGAATTTAATTTTCAGGGATAACAGAGTTAATAGATCTCTATAACTAAATAATAAACTAGGAAACCTGTTCAGAGAAGTCACTTCCGCAATGGTACTGCAAAACAATAAGCCTGTGACCTAAACTGACCAGAACAACTTTGTGATTTCTTTAATAACTCTCACAGTTTAGACTTACTGAAAGCATTTTCCTTTTAAACATTTCAGTGATTATATGCCATTTTGAAGCTATACTCTTATTCTAAGTGTATTCTTTGGGTGACTTGGAGATAGGATTTCTGCAATGAAACTTTTCCTTCATTCACTTTATCCAGGTCTGCTACTAATTTGCAACTCCTGGATACATTTGGCAGAAATATTGTTCCACTTCTAAAGGTTTAATTTTGTTTGTTTTTCTTGGAGTTGTTTTTCATTTATTGCACCCTCTTGCATTTTCCAGTTTGAAAAAAGGGGGCGCTGTTGCCTTTTGTCTGCTCCTTGCAGGTTTATATAACAGTCACTGTTTTATTAAAGTTCATTAAACTTTTTCCCTTGAGCCTGTTTGTGTTCTGTGTATGTCATTTTGGGTTTTAGAACAGATGGAAGGCATAATATAGATACATATAGAAGGCATAAAAATATAAAATAAATAATCCTGACCCATAAGCAGAAGTTTAATAGACTTTGGATTTCCCCTATATGCATGTTGTTTTATCAAACTATTTTTCCTCACTGGCCAAAAGCAATATTATTATGTTTGTTTTTATACATATGCTCTTATGTACTAGAGCAGGGGTCCCCAACTCCCAGTCCATGGACCAGTACCAGTCCATGGCATGCTAGCAACCGGTCTGCACAAACAAGCAAAGCCCCATCTTCGGATGCAGGCAGCACACAAAACCACGCATCCTTCAGTCTGCAGAAAAACCTCTCTCCACGGAACCAGTCCCTGGTGCCCAAAAGGTTGGGGACCTCTGTCCTAGAGATTTCCCAAAATCTTTTGTAAATATTCTAGAGGGAGGGAAAGTATAAAACATCTTCCTCACCCTTTTAGAAGAAAAACAATATAAAACTTTTCCTTTGCTATTCTCTAAAATCAGCTTCAAAAAATTATTTGAAATATTATCCCATACAGAACATCCATTTCAGCACATTTATTAATGGCCAGGACTCATTATACCAGAAAAAGATTACATTGTATAACAGGACTCCTAAGAGTTTTTATAGTAACAGACAAATATGGTTAACCTTTTTATTTATTTATTACTTCCCACTTGCTCGATTGCTTGGCTACTTTTTCTTCCTTCCAGGATAAAAGGCACTCCAGAGAACAAAAACAAAATAAGTTTCTAAATATTAAAACCGTAATTTAATACAACAGAAGGTAAAATATATGGAAGGCTGAAACATTATCAATATATGTGCAAGCAATGATCAGAGAAACAGTTTTAAGAGAGAAACTAATTTTATACAAGGCCTGGCTGGAGGATTTTGGGAGCTGAAGGCCACACATATTAAAGTGCTACAAAAAAGTATGATTGCATGTGCTTTGCGCATACATACCTGTATGATGAGAGCTAAAGAAAGTGATCATAGGTTAACAAATTCTTAAACAATGTTCAAAATCTAGCCCAGTCTGAAGCACCCTTTTAGGATGAAATCCAAAGTGCTGCATGCCTCAAAAATCTAGTATAATGTAACAAATTATATTATGGATCATCAATATCCAAAGAATAAAACACATCTCTTCAGTGTTCCCTTGGTACTCAATTGCTTTGAAACTCTTCACATTTGGTATATTCAGCATATTTTGATGTGAAAAATTTGTCCTGGTACTCATCGGTGTCAGCTGCCTTGTGACTCACTACATCAGGGGTCCCCAACCTTTTGAGCACCAGGGACCAGTTCCGTGGAGAGAGGTTTTTCTGCAGACCAGAGGGGGCGTGGTTTCATGTACTGCATGCATCCTGCAGATGGGGCTTTGCTTGTTTTGAGTGGACCACTTTCTGGCATGCCGCAGCCAGGTGCCAATCCACGGACCAGGGGTTGGGGACTCCTGCACTACATTATTCCTTATGGGGGGGAAATGTTTGTTACTCATCATTTTTGGCACTCATTGCACCTCCTGGAACCAATGAACAATGAGTGCCAAAGTATATTGTATAGGGCACTGGATCTAACTGGTGCATGAATATGTTTTCTGTAGCTTAAAATTCTATTTTCTTTGCATTTTATGAATTCCATCTGGAAGTACATTAATTAGCATCAAGGCAACTCATTGTCTTCATTCCTTGGCATGGCCAAGTCCATAGGATGAAAACGTATCATTGCCACCCCACATATCTTCCATGGACATCTTCTCACTAACCCATATGTGAGAAGGATAGGCCTCACACAAAGTGTATTATTTTGCAGGCACATTAAAAGGAAATGAGAAATGTATAAAATAAATTCTATGTAATCACCTCCTGGTCCAGCAGCATTGAAGCATGCGATTAAGGGAATTACCCAACATGCATTGTCCTAATAACACTAATAAATAAAATATTATCCATAACGCTTATTGTATATCTTTCTTATAAAATCTGCTGCCAGACTAGGGGCAAGGAAAAGTTCGTGGAAGATAAACTACATGTCAGTTGTTTGGGTTTGGTGTGCTTTGGAGATTGTGCTCTAGCAGTTTCTGTGATAAAAAAATAAATATTTACAACACATAGCAAGCAAAAAATGGCCCTTTTAAGACTTATTCTAGATAGCAAATTACTTGTCATGTTCCATTTAATAATGCCCATTTTGGTTGAAGAGAGAATTAATCTGAAATTATTACAAAGTTATTCCTCAAATCAAGAAAGGAAACAACATTTTTGAGAAAATATTTTATTTTCTTAACATTCAGGTATAAAGAAATTTGTGAAATTGTAATACAAGTATGTTCAAAGTATTTTACTCTAATGACTTATTTGGTGGGTTGTGAAATAAGCTTCACTTTATGAGACTCAGCTCAATATTTGTAACTTCTTTCAGCCCAACCATGGAAAAAAAAGGTTTTTTTATGCTTTTTGAAAAGCATAATCAAAACCTACTTGATTCATAATTGAATTAGAATCAGAATGAAAAATTAAGTAATTCATTTTAAAAGGGAGTAAAAATTTAATAGCATAATACAGTACAAAGTGTCATTTCTGTGTATGGTATATATATCTAAATTATGTATAGGAGAGAAAGAGATCAGAATTCAAGTTGGCAGCATTTTTTCATTTCAATAGGTGCTCTACATCAGTGTCAATTCCAACCAGTTTAAAGCAAAATGATTAAAATAGTATACTAGGTTCCTATTTTACATTATATCAGATCTACTGAAATGTAACATTGCAGTGATCTTGGCATTAAGTTGTTCTGCAAATGCACTTAGCAACAAACCAATTACAAGAACAGGAGAAAGAAAAATATTTTTTTTGAGGATAACTTTGAAATTAGCTTTAATAGGTATCCATCCCTATTTCTGATATTGTAAGATTATAAAAAAGATATTGTTCTGTTTACATTAGAAGTTCCAACTATAGAGGTTCCAACTATAGTAAGGTCAACTGATAGATTTCACACAAAAACTACCGGTATATTTATATAGGAGAGTCCACTGAAAATCTCAGCATTATCTCTATGTTCTCTTGACAAATGCAATGGTTTCATGGAATATAGGAACTGATTCATAGAGTTTAAAGCAGTAAATCATAGGTGGATTTTTTGTTTGTTTGTTTGGTATGGTTTAACTTTTGATGCCTTCAAGATATCCTTTGATCCTGGCAAATGTCTGGAAAAAATCCATGCAGTTTTCTTGGCAAGGATTTTGAAAGCGTTTTGCCATTGCCATCTGTCTAGAGCTGAGACACTTTGTTTATTTGATAAATTTATATGGCCACCTAATTCACACCCAGCCACCCGGCTGCAGTACAAAATTCTGTTCACTTCTCTGACACTGGACATACGTTAACTTGGCTTTGATGCTATTAGACTAACAGTCGTGCAGTCCAAACATAAAAACAATGAAAAAAGTACATTTTATTTCATGCAGCTGGTTAGACATTTTTTATGTCTTTACAGATAGTCCTTGACTTACAACCATTTTTTTAGTGGCCGTTCAAAGTTACAACAATACTGAAAAAATAGACGCTTATGACCATTGCAGCATCCCTAGGGTCACATGATCAAACTATGGGTGCTTGGCAACTAGCATATATTTATGTACATACACAAAGAAAATACTTGAATTTTGTTCAGCAAAGATTCGAAGTGAATATGTTAAATTAACTGCAAATCGGGCTACAAGTTTTGTACAAATATAATCCTACATTCATGTAATTTGTTCAGGTTTATAAATTTTAAATAGGTCTTTTTAGAATATTTGGTTCATATTCAATGCCGTGTACATGGCTACACACTGCTGTCACAGTACTCGAATACAATTCATGCCTTTCATTAAATTCACCCTTTCAAAGTATCACCTATGGCTCCCCATACATCAAAGACAAATTCATCTGGAAATGCAAAGTCTCCTAAAGCTGCATCAAGAGCTACTGCAAATTCATCTGGATTGTTCTTGCCTTTTCCGGCTTCTACCATAGTTGCAGCTAAATCAAGAGAGGGGAAAAGTCATCTATTATTTTTGTAGGCATATCAATATGATTGTAGTAGCTGAATTTTATATGAACAAACTTGGAATAATTGCATTTTATTAAATAAAAATGTAAAGTAAAAAGCAAAACATTTGTAAACTTCCAGAATTAATTAGAAAATGAAAGGTTAATTAAACTCTGTAGAATGTATTTAAGGCCAGGCCAACTAATCTTCTAAGGAGTTTTTATTTTCTTCAGGATTAAAGATTCAGCCCCACTTAGTAGAAATATCACCATCAATTTCAGCTGGGGGATAACAAAACCTGAGAACACAGGTTTTCTACTAGAGCTCTATCATCTTCTGTGCAGAAAAGACCACTGGAGAGCTAAAACTGTGTGGTTGGCACTTGGCAGTGCCTTATTTTTGATTCTTCAAGAACCAAACTCAGATCCTCTTTCGATCACAGCTTGAGTATCATGAACCACTATTACTTAGTGTTATCTAATTCACAGAATTGCTCATATCACAAGTGACAAGAGGAACAGGATGAACAGCAATATTTAAGGAGTGTTCTTCCTGTTTGCAGTCCCCACATTACCCAGACAGATCTTTCTAGAGAACTGGGGCCTTCTTGGAACTTTTTGTTTTTTTAAAAAAGGACTATTTGCCCACTGCATGTTGTAATGGAGTCAAAGGGGAGGGACAGAAGAAAGACTACCATTGTTTCAATTTAAACTTCAGAAATGTAATGGTATATTTTATATTCTAATAACACTTAAGAGTTTTCATAGAAGGAAATGTCTTTGACACCAAAAGGTGAATCTCAGCATAAAGGTTATTGGAAAATCTTATTTTCAATATTATAGTACACTAATATGGGACAGTCAGATACTGGCCTCTAATGGCTGTTAAGAAGAACTACAGTACTAGAAAATATTACAAATTCCTATTACATACTCAACTTTTTAAATTAAATACATATTTCATAATACAGATATCTATAATTACTCCAAATAAAAATTGGATTGATTTATTGTAAAAATAATTGTAAAAACTGATATTATGTTAAATAACAGATTTGAGATAGCTATTTATAATTAGGAGGTCTAAGACTTTATAATTATGTATTACACAGAGAGAGGATTTACTTATAATTGTTAAAGATTCTTAATTATGACAAACACTATGATTTTGTTGCTCTGATTTATATGCCTAATCTGTGCAGGGATGATTGCACAGATATAATGTACAACAAAATACGTTTAGTAATTGGTGTATGATTGCCCTGTGGCAAGTAATTGATCTTCAGAATTACAATCATATGCATGCACACAATGATTAAAAAAGAAAAAAAAGCAAGAGGCGGAATCTGATCTTAATGTTTAATAGTAGGCAACACATATGCTGCTACCACCTATCTATTGTTCAAATTGCCAATAGAATTCAAGTTATTTGGGAGGGGAATATATGGCTACAGTTCATAACCATTTGTTTGAAATGAACCTCCATTAAACTGAATGAGGCTTATTTCCAAGTAGATATACACATAATTGCCTTAACAGCCTAACATATCGTTAAACAGGAGTTCATGCTTCTAAAGCCAATCATAGCAATCAACCTTTCTAGTCAACCATGCAGTCTGATACATTAAGATCTGTGTTTTTTAGTCTAAGCAGTATAATGAGGATCCTAATAAATCAGGCTGCCATAAATAGATAATGGGTGCAAGTTTCAATACTGTACAACATTATTTTGCAGCAAATGAGGTCAGATAAGCAACCAAACTTTTCATGAAACAAGTTTTTCATTTCATAATTAAACTCATCTTCAATTGTTTAAAATACGATTTGTTAGAACCAGCACTGTGAGCAAATATTGAAATCTTATTGTCATATTTTATACATTTAAATGGGTGTCAAATAATTTAACAGAGTTCTCAAAGTATTAAGATGTGGGTATCTATCACATTTTAATAATTTGGGAACCTAATATGTTAAGTCATTTGTCATAATAGAAAATATTTTAAATTCAAGTTAAAGCTATAGAAATGTATCATAATTCTACATGCCTACCACACTGTTTTGGCTGGCAAAAAAAGTAAGAAATAATATTTTATAACACATTCAGAATATGTCTATATTAAAGTTCTGGCAGCTTAGCGGAACTAGAAATGAAGGGTTATTACATAAATACTAACCTAGTTCAAGATCTCTTATTCCCATGTACATTTCCAGAAGATCATCCACCTTTTTGGTAGCCTTTTCTTCAACATCTGAAAGCTTTACCAAAAGGAAGAAACAGAAATATAAACTATGCAATGAGTAATGCAAAATAGATGAGTTATAATATTTAAAAATTAAGTGAAATTTTTCAGTATCTTGCAATGCAACCATATCAATATTGATTCCAAACTAATTACTACTAAACCAGCTTTTCCCAACCTGGGCAATTTTAAGATATATAGATATCAATTCCAAAAATTCTTAGTAAATGGTCATGCTGGCTGGAAATTCTGGGAGCTGAAATCCACACACCTTGATGTTGCCCAAGTTGGAAAACATTACACTAAGCTAATTACATATAAATATTTTTTTCATATTATTTATTCCAATTCCCAAGCCTTGGGGACAGGGTATTTGTGATGCTCCACTTCACTTTTGGATGATTTATGTTTGGTGTCTTGTTCTCCAGTCAGCTGTCTATGTTTTTTTTTTTTATCATGGATTTTTAAATCTGTAAACTGCCCACAGCCGGGAGGCCTTGACATTTGATTAAAGAAATGAATAAAACTAAATTAAATACAGGTCCAGACTTCTGTGGTGCAGAATTTAATATCCCATAATGAGATGAGGAATTTCAATAATGAAAATTGTTGAACGATAATTGTGTGTCTGTCTACTGAACAATCAAGCTGAACTAAGAAATTCATATGTGACAGCGGGCCTCATTGCAAACTCAATCATAAAATGCAATGACACTAAAACTTCTTCAGAGCCTTTGGTGTCTGTTAGGGCTCTGCAGTGTATAATGTGAGAAGACAAAAAAGTGCTTCAGAGCATGCAGGATTGCTCCCATAACACTTTGTGTAATTCCTTGGTGCAGTTATCTTTTCCCATGATTGTACTGTTCCTTCAGAAGCAGCAAGTCATATTCAATAGGGGCCATGTATGGTCTTTCCCCAAAAAGCTATCATATAATACTGGACTTCATTGTTTTAACCAAAACTGAAGCTGAGTTTTATTGCCTGGATTTGGAATGTGTAACTAATAGTGGTAGGACAATCTAATGGAAAAAGAAATTAAAGGTGAGTAGGCGCTCTTAAAACTAAAAGTATAATTTTCAATGATGCCATTAAAGGGAAATAATATAGGATAGCAGAAAATGCAAATATGGTTGCAAAACTGTTTATAAACAAAAAGAAGACAAAAAGGTAAGCCCTCACTACTTGACTATTAACAGGTAAGTGACTACTATTGACTACTTTTGAGACTGGCAACTCCATTACTAAGAAAAACATCACATGACTATGACTTACAATTTTATTTCGACCTTCTCTATTAACTCTGATGCAAGTCAACTGCAAAGCACACAAATTCCCCAGAATTACAATTACGTGACAGCAGGATGTGGTTATGGTTGTAAATGCAAGGATTGGTAGCAAAGGTATTTTATTTACACAACTGTATCTTCAAATGGTTATAAAATGAGTCAGTCAGAAGCAAGAATTATGTCTCCGTGTGTGTCTGTGTATGTCTCTGTGTTAGAAAGAGGGACAAGTCACCAAGGAAGGGTACATATAGATAGCTTGGTATTATAAATATTGATGTAAATCTAAAGTTGGTAGTACATCAAAAGAGCTTCTTCAGTTACATTCATATATGTATGCCAGCAGTTCAGTCTAGATTGGAAAATGTTAATACATAGCATTTATGAAATGTATGCATTCCAATAGTTACCAAGAAGAACAGAATGAATAGAAAGATTAAAGCTTGAGACAAATAAAAACATAGTCAAAAAAACATCTATTTACTTTGAGTGAGTTTAAATCTCCAAAACCAGAGGAATTTATCCTTCAATATTGAATGAACTTTCTGATGAACTGGGAAATGTTATTATCTTTAAAAGACCCTGGGCAGTAGGTAAGTGAAGGGAAGCATAATCCTTTCTCTTCAAAAAGGAAAAAAAAGTTCATCCATGAAAATATAAATTAATATTGGGCCCTGCACTATTAATATGTTTATTAAGTACTTGGGTGAGGAAGTGAAAGAATGGTTATCAGATCTGCATCTGATAGAAAACCGAATGCTAATAATGCATTAATATCAGAATAAATCAAATGATCTTCTGGGGGAGGGCTAGGGAAATGGGACAAGAGTAATAGAATGAAGGTTAAAATAAATACAATAAATTCTATTCATTCAAGAAAAATAAATCAAATGTACAGGAACAGAACGAGGAATCTGGGTTGACAAAGAGTATTTGTGAAAAGGATCTTGGAATAGTAGTTGATGATACAGGTACTTATGACCACAATTGAATCCAAAATTTCTATTGCTAAGCGAGACAGATGTCAAATGAGTTTTGCTCCATTTTATGACCTTTTTTGCCACTGTTGCTAAGTGAATCACTATAGTTGTTAAGTTAGTTAAGTGAATCTGGCTTCTCCGTTCACTTTGCTTGTCAGAAGGTCGCAAAAGGTGATCCCATAACCCAGTGTTTCCCAAACTTGACAATTTTAAGGCATGTGGACTTCAACTCCCAGAATTCCACAGCCAGCGTTGCTGGCTGTGGAATTCTGGGAGTTGAAGTCCTCATGCCTTAAAATTGTCAAGTTTGGGAAACACTGCCATAACCCCAGGACACAGCAACCATCATAAGTATGGATCAGTTACCAAGTTCTGGATTTTGATCACATGACCCCGGGGATGTTGCAATGGTCATAAATGTGAAAAATGGTCATAAGTCACTTTTTAGTGCTGTTGTAACTTTGAATGGTGACTAATTGAGTTATTATAAGTTGAACACTACCTATAAACTGAATTGAAACAGCACAGTAAGGTGGGCAGAAAAAAATAATAATTAGGCTGCATCAGAGGAAACATAAATTCCACAAGTAATAAGTTCCACATTATTCTCCCTTGGTTAGACTTCAACTACTATATCCATTACAGGCAAATAAAGAGTCAGATAAATTAAAACAGGTCCTGAGAAGGACAATAAGGATGATGATCAAGGATTAGAAATTAAATCCTGTAAAGAAAGAATGAAAGAACTGAAAATGTCTATGGAGATTCTCAGTCATCTAGTCACGTTCGTTCCACAGGTGCTTTTTCAAGAGTTCAACTGGACTTCCTTGTTTTTCTCTGAAGACGTTTCGCTTCTCATCCAAGAAGCTTCTTCAGCTCTGACTGGGATGGTGGGGAATGGAAGGATTTATATTCAATGACAACACAGACCTTTCAGCAGTTCCAAGAAGGCTCCACATCCATTTGTACCACTCAGGTGACCTTGAGGACACAGATAAATCTCCAAGTGGCCTCAACGGCTCTCTAAAAGAATGAAATGACCAGCTGTCTGCAAGGAATATAAATCCTTCCATTCCCCATCACCTGAAATGATCTTTCACAAATAACAATGCCAAGACCTTTCTATCACCACAGAATGCAGGACACATTATAGATTTACACTGCAGGAAGGCAAAGACTGAAACCAAAAAAGCAAAGCAAAATGTGTGCAAACTGAGATGGGAGAGGCTTTGGAAAGGCTGGATTTGAGGATCTAAATCAGGGATTCTCAACCTTGGCAACTTTAAGACTTGTGGACTTCAACTCCCAGAATTCCTCAGCCAGCTTTGCTGGCTGAGGAATTCTGGGAGTTGAAGTCCACAAGTCTTAAAGTTGCCAAGGTTGAGAACCCCTGATCTAAATGATTTCTTCTAACTCTGCAATGTTATGATTCTACACACATTTTGCAGGCATTTTCTTTAGATAAACATAACCCAAAGAGATGACCTGTCCTGCTTTTTAGACATCTTTTGCCATTCCCAGGTGGTATAATTGCATTCCAGGAAATCTGGAGAGTCCCCGGAAGAAAAGACTATATATAAAATGCCTAAAATACTATCAAAAAGATATTCATGTAACTTCAGTAGCATTTGAAATATCAGCTATTCTGTAAATACATTCCTTTAAGAAGCATGGTAGATTACAATGCCAAGTCAAAGGTATTTCTGTCAATACACTTCAGTTTTCCAGTTTCCAGTTTCAGACATGAACCACCATAACGAAACCAACGTGAGTGCAGGTATCACAGTAAAGTGTATCACAATCTTGTGAAAAGATTTTTTTTAAATCTGTGAATAAAAAATTCCCGTCTCCTTTCCACTTACCTTTACTTTTTGCTTTCAATTTGCACTTATTACACCATTATTTTTAGTCAAAGCTCAACCTGAAATCTATATTTTAAGGAAGGGCTGTGCAACTTTCATTGCTGGAAATGGTATAGATCAGGGGTAGTCATAGTCAACCTTGGCTCTTTTATGACTTGTGGACTTCAACTCCATGGCTGGCTCAGGAATTCTGGGAGTTGAAGTCCACAAGCCATAAAAGAGCCAAGGCAGCAACGGAAGAAATGAGGCAATTGCCAAATTCACCAGGGTGAAGACACTCTTTGCAGTTATAACTATAGTTTAATGGCTTCCAAACTGGAACAAAAATCTGCCTTCAGGACAAAGATTTATGAATTTAAAAACTCACCATTTCTTCTACTGTAGCAGAACCTTTGGATCTTAGTCGAAGAGTCTCTCTTCCTCGGCAGATTTTTTCCTCTGCAAAAGTTCCACTTTTTGACCTTGGCTCGATAATTTCTGCAATAAATATACGTTTCCCAAATTCTAATTCAACTCTGAATATAGTTATACTTCTTTTCAAGATGAACAATATCAAACCCAAACTTAGGATGAAATAGGATGAAATTTGGCAATCTATTAATTTAACTCAGAACTGGATTTAAGCTGGAGATTACTTTAGCAGTTGCAGAGTCATTAAGACATTTTTAATGGGGCCAAGAGACCCATACATTTTATAGATGGGTAGATTGGGAAGTTTATGATTCAGTCAACAATGACTAGCTTGTAGTAATTTTAAGATAAAAATATTTTGTCAAAACAGGGGTTATAAAAATCATCATATTAATCAATTTGTCTATCTCACCCATACCTGCTTAAAATAATCTGTTTTGTACTGAACTTTCCTATTATCTAACTAAATTGATTCAGTCTCAGTACTCTTTTCAAGGACATCAAATACTCAATATGAGTCTAACCCGTATGATTTTACCACACCTGTTGTTAATAGCAACTTAATTTCAATGTGCAATTTCCTCACTTTATAGCAGGGGTGGCAAACTGCCAGCCTACAGGCTGAACCCGTCACACGGAAGCCGCACCGACCCCATTGCTGACAATGGCAAAACAGTCCCGAGTTTGACATGTCTGCTTTATAGCTTTGGACTTGAAAATCTTCCCCCCAAAAATTAGTTGGCAAAGGCAAACTACTGGAGATGCAGCTGTAATTCTTGTTGACTTCTCATCTTAATTTTGTGCTTCCACAAAATGTAAGCTGCGCTTCCAGGTATAAGACTGCCCAATTAACTGAACAGTTCTCATCCAGCAATGCTTTGACAGTAAGAGTTGTCATAGCAAAGAAACTCCTGTATTTCCTGAAAAAATTAGATGCTGCTCCAATTAAAAGTAAGAATCTCATTTCCCACATTGTTGAAAAGCTATTTATATATTTACTGAAAATTTGTAATGTCTGCAACTCAGATCCAGTATGACTGTGTAATTGAATGTTAACTAAATTACAAAAAAAGAGTAAATGGTGATTCTTTCAATCCTCCTTAAAGGGCTGTAAATACATAGCTAGTGGGGATTAATTGAAGTAGATTGGCAGATCTGAAAAAATATTGTCGAGAGGGCCCTAATGCATTTGAAACGAGATAAATTTGAAAGCATATTGCCTTCATCATTTTATTTAACTTCTGTCTTTATTTTAAATCAGGCTGCCCAACCAAATTAAATTTAATACAATCCATGAACCATGCTGGGCTTGATAATCCCTTTTTGTATGTGCCAGAAAGAAATAAAAGTATTTGAGCTTCATGTGAACTTGTCTCCGTAATAATTAGTGTAACAGAGTGTAAGGTATGGAAAGACAGCTTTAAACCTTATGATTAAGTAGCTTAATTGTGATGAGGATAGTTTTATTCTATTGTAATAAGATTATTGGTACAATTTTTTGGGTGGATATGTTCCACTCACCAAATGATTTCATAGGTTCTATCAGTTTTAATGTAAATGTCTGACCCTTCTTCAAGTCCTTTAAATTCTTAGCCACTTCATAATGACGATAGCCTGCTACGTTTTTTTCATTTATAGATTCTATGTGGTCACCAACACATATCACTTTTATTTGGTCAATAAGACTTCCTGCTTTAATTCTCTGCAGACAAAAACAATTTTACATATATTATGATGGATTAAAAAAAATAGTCTGGTCCAGAAAATTATGAACTACAAATATGAACATGAAGAGTCTCACATTTTTTGCCAGGACCCTTCTATCCAAAATCCAATGGAAGATAGGCAAGAAAAGATATTTTCATTCTCTTTATATCCAGGAAGTTAAGAAAAAGTCAGTAGTCTCTTGTGTCTATCATCTTTACACTAACCTCTTCTAGTCTGCTCTTACTGGCTTGAAGAAATTTTCAGGACATTTGGGAGTATCATTAGAAAGAAGGGCAGGAAAAACCCAATGATGAAACATTACCATGTTTCTCTGAAAATAAGACCCAGTCTTATTTTATTTTGCTTCCAAAAGAGGCACAAGGTCTTATTTTGGGGGGGGTGTCTTTTTCATTCACCTTGCAGCAGCAGCATCAACAGTCCTGCCCAGCTGGTCTACTTCTTCTATGGCTGAAGGAGCAGCTTCTTTCTGCAGCTGAGAATGGAGCTCCAGCCTGCATTTCGCCATCAGAAGCCTTTCCGGAAGGCTTCTGCAGCCAAGAACTGAGCTACGGATAGCTCAGTTCTCAGCTGCTGAGGCCTTCCGGAAAGGTCTTTGACTAAGATGACCAACCGTCCTCCTTTAGGGAGGACAGTCCTCCTTTTGTAAGTTCTGTCCTCCCTCAAAAAGTGTCCTCCTTTTCGATATTTGAAGACTAATCTGCAGGGCTTTTTTTTCCTCATAAAACACTCAGAACGGGGTTCCGGCACCTTTTTTTGATGGTTTTTTTTTCAACTTTTGTAGCTGTGCTACTCTCACTATTGGCTTTCGAAAGCCAATAGGAATTGCTGCTGAGCGCGCCAAAACACCTGCCTGGCAAACTTTGCACATGCAAGTTGTCTGTATTATTGTTGCAATGAATAAAATGTTTCTTTTATTTACGATATTTTTTTCTTCAATTTATTTGTGTCCTCCTTTTCATTGTAAAAAAGTTGGTCACCTTATCTTTGGCTACAAAATGCAGGCTGGAGCTCCATTCTCAGAAGCAGAATGAAGCTGTTCCTTCGGCCGCAGAAGAAGTGAGCCGGTGAGGCAAGTGTCAATCCATGGGAAGCCTGGCTGCAACAGTAAGCTCTAACCCCGCCACCCCCACTATAGTTTGATTTTTAAGCGTGCGCCTCGCCTCAAAACTAGGGCTTATTTTTTGGTAGGGATTATATTAGGTTCACCCCCAAAAATCAAGCTAGGGCTTATTTTCAGGGTAGGTCTTACTTTTGGGGAAACGTGGTAGGTACTACATAGGTAATATCTGCAAAACATACAAAGCAGTTCAGAATTTATATTCAACAAAGCATATTCCATAGCATTCCAAACAGCTATAATAATAAATGTACAGCACACATCAAGATCTTATGGGAAGGCCAGGTTTTCCATTCTTCTACATTGACAACTTTAGAAAAGGAAAACAGATTTGCCTCCATTTTCAATATTTTGATTTTTTTTAATTGTATCTTTTAAGACAAATGTTAGCAATTTCCTTTGATTCTATGTAAGTTACTTCTGAGGATCAGAGAATATAATTTAATTTTCATCTCCTCCTCAAAGATAAAAACGGCTATAGGGAAGCTGTAATCATCTAAATCTTATCAAAGCCAAAATCCTGGAATAGGAGTTAATTCACCCTATTTCATTTTTTTGATCTACAAATAAAGTGATCAAACTGTATAATATTAGAGAAAAATGAGAAATTTTTTAAAAAGTTCAGTATTAGTCTATCAATATATGATTGACAGGGAGATATGTCCACTCTGCAGCCCTTAACTTCCCTCTCTTGGCTTCTCTCCAAAGGAAGGTGACCAGGATGGAAAAAAACTTGCTCAGAAGAAGAACTATTTGACAGCAAAATGTAACTGACAGGAGAAATGATGAACTTTTCCAGAACAAATAGGAGTGAAAAAAAGAATATAATAGTTATTATGCAGTAAAAAAATATGCTAAAAAAAATGCTTGGTCTCTTATCTCCACTCTGAGTAATATAACATATGTTTCTGTTGAAATTATGGGCTAGATTATGCAGATATGCATAACGTCAGCCTGATCATTGTGTTTTAAAGACAATTAAAAATGATCATGATAGAATAAGGATCAAATGCACACAAAATACAGCATACAGACATATGGTTTGTCATATGCTAAAGTGTCTTTTTCATAACAGAAATGTTCTGTTTTTAAAAAAGAAATGGCTCTATCGGATATTCCTTTTCCTCTAAGTGTTCACTCAAGAAATAATGCCAGTATTAGGCTTTCAAGCCATTCACTTTAGGAGTTACTCAACACAGTTTCAATGCTATCACCATAAATTAATGAAATAAATTGATATGTTCATGTTTCTCATACAGGGGGTCTTTGACTTACAACAGTTCATTTAGTGACCATTCAAAGTTACAACGGCACTGAAAAAATGACATATGACCATTTTTCACGCTTAGCACCGCTGTAGCATCCCCATGGTCATGTGAACTACATTCAGAGGCTTGACAACTAATTCATATTTATGATGGTTGCAGTGTCCTGGGATCGTGCGATCCCCTTTTGCAACTTTCTGACAAGCAAAGTCAATAGGAAAGCCAGATTCACTTGACAACCGTGTTACTAACTTAACAAATGTGGCAAGAAAAGTCGTAAAGTGGAACAAAACTCACTTAACAAGTTTCTCACTTAGCAACATATATTTTGGGCTCAATTGTGGTCAAACATTGAAGACTACCTGTATTCACTTCATCCCCAACCTACCTTTATGAAGGCACATCCATTTCCATTATCAGTAATGGTAAGTCCAAGTGAATCTTCTGATTTGAAAACATCCACTTCTTTTTTTATTCCTTTGACATGAGCAAATATAAAGTCTTCAAGACCAATTTGCACACCCAAAAGCTTGTTCATATCAATTTTGTGTGTATTCAATGTGCAAAACATGATCTATAAAGCCAAGAGGGAAACAGATGTATGTTAATTACTTTTCAAAGAGATATCCTTTCCCGAAATCATAGGACACCTAAATAATTGTCCAATGGCAACAAGAGTAAGTTACAATATTCTAGAAAAGTCACCATGCTATGTATTATTGTGATTTCTTAACTTAGATGTGTATTAATTATAAAATCCATTCAATGCCCAAAGCCTGTGATTTGTTGCCAAGCTTTATTGCAGGAAGCAGAATGAGTGCTATTTGATATAAACAGAAATAATTCAATATACTGCTGCTGTAAAAATGTTATACTGTACATTTCATAATGAGTCCCCAAATTCCTGTAAGAATTATATCACAAAATAAAAAAAAATGCTATTTAAAATAAGGTCCTTCCAGATCACCAAAAGTCAATAACCAGCAAAATAATATGCTGCATGAGAATTCTTAGCCTAGTACCACTCCTGAGTGACATGTCCCTTAGCCCACAGGATCCAGTGGTATGGTTCCTATGGAATGGTACAGAAAATATTGAGATATTTAGATCATATGCCTATTGCAATTATTATAATTGTAATACTATACTCTTGGGAAGGACTTGATAGGCAGACTGAAATGCCAAATTCATTCTGAACTTCTGGCTGACTGTGCAATAAACCAAAATAATACAATATCATATAATTATTATATTATAATTATTATTTAAAATGCAACATTGGAAAATATAAATGCATTTATAACTGCTATGAAGAAGAATGGAAGCCACTTTATGTCTTTTTTTCTTTTTCTCTCTTTCTTCTGTCTTTTCTATTTCTTTCTTTACATCACATTTCTTTAATTTGTTCACTTTTCCTTTTTTAAAAAAATGCATTGTTTTTATTCTATACAAATTTAATTAATTAAAATTAATTAAAACACAATTTTGAATAAGTCTTTTTTAAAATAATATTGATTAACAATTACATTATACAGATGAAACTAATGCATACCAGGAAAAAAATAAGTGCAATGAAAAAGAAAAAGAAGAGAAAAATTAAAAAACAAAGGAAAAATAAGTAACTTCCTCTTTTGTTCTGGCAAGTGTAAATAAATTAATTTAATTTAATTTTTCCTCTTCCACCAAAACAAGTTTCAAAAGTTTTAGCTGACAACAATTAAAGTTTCTCATTCTGTTTACCAGAATTATCCAAAACTATCTGCCAGTTTCTATTTAAAGAAATAGCTTGTTTCTTATTCATTCCAATTTAATCTGGAAAGTTTCCAGAATCCTAAGCCTGCTGGAATTTTTCTAAATAAGCTTGCAATAATTCTGACAGAGAACAGTCCAGCTGCTCCCGTGGTGAGTGTCGGATGCTTTCAATTGTGCTAGCTTTTCATGCTGTTTTTGTATTCCAGAGTTTGCAGTCTATTTGCTTCTCTCAGAATAAGCAGGCCTTGAGGCTTCCCCTACCCCCACAATGCCCATATGCTCTGTCTTAGCGCTGATAAAAGCTCTTTCGCTATTGGGTGAGGGATCTACAAATGAGTGTGGCCACATGAATCACAGGTCTGCATTTCCACTTTGCTCCCCACGGCTCATCCCTGGAGGACACAAGACAGGAGTCAGGTAATCCTCATCTCTTCGGGAGTAGGACACCCGAAGGCCACTTCAAGGGGAGTGATGGAGGGCATTATTTTTTTTGAACTATCATCTGGGTGACATGTCACTCAGCCCACAGGATCCAAAGTCCAACTGACAGGAATGGATCTGCTCAATTTGTGCTCTGACTGCCCCCACTAGTCATAAATCAAAGAAGCCTCACTTTGGCCGCCTTTCTTCCCATGAAAGGAACCCATATATCTTGTCCACTTCTCTGTACATAGTATAAGCATTTCCTTACTGGACTAATAGACTTCCCTGGCCCACAACTGGGTGATGAACTGCAATGGGCTCCCCCAGGAGTGTGTTTCTCCTCTGTCTTATTTTGTTGTGTGTTCTCTCCCAGGGAATACCAGCTAGTATTTATCTTCCATTGGCTCTTCGGTTGTCCTTGTTCTTTGAAGATATAGGGATGAACTCACCCTTTGCCAGCTGTTCCATATTCCATGACTGATATGATCCATGAAGGATGCCATGCAGCAGTCCTAGATGAGCACTCAAATAGTTGCCCATCAAACTCAGGCCCCCAAGTTGACATGGAGCTGGAAACAACTAAGTCCTTAAATTTGAAAAATACCCAATACTGTTGCAAAGTGCTCTTTTCACCCTACCTCCCAACAATATCAACCACAAGGACTTCAGATAAAGCAAAAGGTGGTGCCATGTTTTTATGTAGGGTGCAGAAACAAATCATAGATACATTCTATATATATGTGACAGAAAGCAACAAATCAAACAGTGAAGATATTGATTAGACATCAGAAAAGATAGACATTGTTAAAACATGATGCATCCCCTCCTTTCCCTCCCAGATTTGTTTCTTTAACACCTGCAACACTCAAGGACTTCAGACTACAGCTCTAATGTGTGATCAGCGGTCCCTGAAAGGGCTAGTTTTTGCACATCAAAGGAAATGGCTTTGGCACAAAGGAAAAACATGGCATGGAATGCCATGTTAAAATGACAATATCACCTTTTATTAAAATGCTAATAATAAACCTAAAATTCTACCTAATTCCTGAACATTAAGTCCAACTTTTTATATGCTACATCATATCAGCACTTAAGACACTTTTTAGTTCACAAACGCTACAGTCTTATGTATGATAAAGAAAATCTTGAAAGTAATGGCTTCATAATAATATTTATTTATGTAATTAAAAAGGAACAGAATAAAAAAGCATTTAATTTAACTACATCATCTTTCACTCCAAAGCTTCTATTTGTTACATTTAAGAGCAAGGTATTTCACCCGAAGTTATTCTTCAACTAGGGTTTTAACTTCTGCAATAAACTTTGTACTTCCTGCAGTCAATCGTAAAGTGTTGAGTTGCTTATTAAAAAAAGTTCTATCCTTTCAAAATGAACTATATACTGTATTTATTTCAATGTGAGTCAAGGTGTGTACATACTTCAAAGGAAAAAAGGCCATCTGCCTGCCAATGCACAGTTCTACTACATAAACTATGACCTTCATTGTATATACACTATATAGCTTGGATTTTGATAGACTGCATTATATCACCCATGCCCCGGACAGCTGAAAATTGACTCATTTGTTGGTATAAACCCCCAGATCTTCATTATTTTATCAGTGGCATATATGTACTAATTGCTACTTTCGCCTTCATTTTTCTTAATTTAAAACTTAATGTGTTCTAAATTTACCAGGCTGTAAAAGACACATTAAGGAATATTACTGTGTAGGTCAATCTCAGAAGAGGGGGGGGGTCTTCATTTTTTTTTCAAGATTCCAAAGTATATTGAAAAAAAATTCTAGAGTTATAGCAAACCCATATAGCAAATCTTATAGTACTCACTTATGGCATAAGTTATTGTGAACTATAGTTCATCGGTTGCCTAAACAGTAAATCTATCCATATATCTATATCCATATCCCTATTTAGAGTCTGAATGGTGTAGTCTTTAAAGTGCTGGACCAGAACTAGGGAGATTTCTATTTATTTATTAAATAGGTTTATTTGACCACTCAACCAATAAACAGAGCCCAGATCAAGTATACTCTTGAGCTTGGAAACTTCTAGTCACTCCTACACAGGTCAGCCTATTTTAGTGGGGAAACTGGAAAAGAGCTGATGTAGTTCCCATCCTCAAAAAAGGAAAAAAAAATGGATCCAGGAAATTACAGACCTATCAGCCTGACCTCAATACCTGGGAAGATCCTGGAAAAGATAATCAAACAACGAATCAACGAACACCTAGAGGCAAACAAAATCATTACTAAAAGCCAACATGGGTTTGTCAAAAATAGATCATGCCAGACAAATCTTATTGCATTCTTTGACCAAGTGACAAAATTATTGGATCAGAGGAATGCTGTGGACATAATTTACTTGGACTTCAGTAAGGCATTTGATAAAGTAGATCACAACCTACTACTTGACAAGATAGAAAAATGTGGGGTAGACAGAACCACCACCAGATGGATCCGTAGCTGGCTGACCGGCCGTACTCAGCGAGTGGTCCTCAATGGAACTGCATCTATATGGAGGGAAGTGTGTAGTGGGGTGCCCCAGGGCTCTGTTCTGGGCCCAGTACTCTTCAACGTCTTCATCAACGATTTGGATGAAGGGATAGATGGGGAACTCATCAAATTTGCAGACGACACCAAGCTGGCAGGAATAGCCAACACTCCAGAAGACAGGCTTAAGATACAGAAGGATCTGGACAGACTTGAACACTGGGCACTAACTAACAAAATGAAATTCAATGGTGAAAAAAGCAAGGTTCTACATTTAGGCAAGAAAAACCAAATGCACAAGTACAGCATAGGTGGCACCATGCTCAATAATAGTAACTGTGAGAGGGACCTCGGAGTCCTAGTAGACAATCACCTAAATATGAGCCAGCAGTGTGCTGCAGCTGCCAAAAAGGCCAACACAGTGCTAGGCTGCATTAACAGAGGGATAGAATCAAGATCACGTGAAGTATTAATACCACTTTCAATGCCTTGGTAAGGCCACACTTGGAATACTGCATCCAGTTTTGGTCACCACGATGTAAAAAAGATGTTGAGACTCTAGAAAGAGTACAGAGAAGAGCAACAAAGATGATTAGGGGACTGGAGGCTAAAACATATAAGGAACGGTTGCGAGAATTGGGTATGTCTAGTTTAACGAAGAGAAGGACAAGGGGGGACATGATAGCAGTATTCCAATATCTCAGGGGCTGCCATAAAGAAGAGGGAATTAAGCTATTTTCCAAAGCACCTAAGGCAGGACAAGAAGCAACGGGTGGAAACTAGTCAAGGAGAGAAGCTTCCTGACAGTGAGAACAATTAATCAGTGGAACAGCCTGCCTCCAGAAGCAGTAAATGCTCCAACACTGGAAGTTTTTAAGAAGAGACTGGAC